AACAAGCCCAAAATATCGCGAAATTGCAGAAAAAAAACGCCATTTTCCATATTTCCAAGCCGCCATTTTAAAAGAAAATCAAGCACCACACGGCATTTTAAACAACATATCATGACCAACATTTTATGCCTGTGAATGCAAATTTTCAGATCCTGAATTTGTGTTGGCTGCGAAAACAAGTCCAAAGAATCGCGAAATTGCAGAAAAAACGCCATTTTCCATGTTTCCAAGCCGCCATTTTAAAAAAAATAAGCACTTTACGGCATTTTAAAAAACATATCATTAACAACATTTAATGCCCATAAATGCATATTTTCAGATCTTAACTTTGTGTTGGCTGCAAAAACAAGCCCAAAATATCGCGAAATTGCAGAAAAAACGCCATTTTCCAAATTTCCAAGCCGCTATTTTGAAAACAAATTAAGCACTACACGGCATTATAAACAACATATCACGACCAACATTTTAAGCCCAAGAAAGCATAATTTTAGATCTCAAATTTGTGTTTGCAGATATATTGCATAGTTTGTTCTACTATTTCAATAAAAACAGCGACCATTTTGGGGTCGCCATTTTGAAAATTTGTAATCTGCCACACGGCACTTGAAAACTCTTGTAAAAACAAAAAGTTTAAGCTCTCAGCCGTTTTTTTTCATAACTATAAAAAATGTCTAGAGCAGTGTTATGTATTACGTACTTTGTGCTCTAGACAATTTTAAGATTCCAGTTAGGGTTTATAAGTGACATTTTCTCTTGACATATACGTAACTTATAGCATGATCTTCATAACTATTTCTCGTCAATTCATAATTAAGAGATTAACTGATGTTCTATAAAAGTAAACTCAATACAATTTCATACATGTACTTTCACCGCATATATTAATCCTCGTACTTCTAGCACATGAAAAAAATCATTACTCGTAATTAAATTGAAAATCTCACCCTCATCGGGTACTCAAAAATTTTTTGAGTTGTTTTTTGTAAAATTAGCTTTTCTAACTTTGACTTCATGTATATGGATATAGAAATAAGGTTGAGCAAGTCTTATGATCTCTAGTTTCCTACTCAACGCTGACTTGTCAAAAAAGTGATATACACCCGATCTACATTTCAAACGTACGATATTTTTTTTAAATAAAATAAATTCCGAAAATATAATGAAATCGATAAAAAAAAAAATTACACTTTTTTTCTTTTTTCAGATTAACGGAGGGCTGTTACTGTATTCGTAATGTCATAACTATCTTGATGAATAGAGAGCGTTGTGAGGTTCATGAGGTATCATTAAATGTTTCGCATTTTTGAAAATTACTCTTTCAATGAAAATAAATTTAAAAATTTCTGGAAAAAAAATTATAACAAAAATGACAGGTCTAGATTAAAAAAATAATTTACCAAAAGTTCATAATAAATGCAAATTGTGCTAGTTTCTTAAAAGGTCTCATTGATTCGGGTATAATATAAATGCGTG